ACTAACTTGTCGTGGAATTACTGTACATTCATTTCGAATTCCATGACTAACTTGTCGTGGAATTACTGTACATTCATTTCGAGTCCCATGACTAACTTGTCGTGGAATTAATGTACATTCATATCAGAATCCCATGACTAACTTGTCGTGGGATTAATGTATATTCATATTGATGTCATAAAATGAGCCTATTCATAAGTTGGCTGGTTGTGAAGTCACGTTTTCTTAAAGGTGGGATGCTGCATGCCATTAAAACTGGCAATGAGGTCTGTGCACTTAAAAGGTGTGCGCCGCATAATCCATGCGATCTCTCTAAATCGCAACACAACTGGTGCATCATAGATAGAACGATGCTATTTACAATTGACAGTAAGTTGTGCTGCACTAGAAGTAACATTTGATTTGACGCTGTTGCCGATGACACAGGTATAGTTGCCGTTATCTGTTCTGTTCAGCTTGGTGATGGTAAGCGAAGAGGTGACACCACCAGAATCTTCTGATTCATTGACTGTCAGTCTTGAGTTGGAGTTGATGGCAAGTTTCTGTCCATTTGCAGACCATTCCACCATCCTAGGTAAAGGTTTGCCCTCAAACCGGCATGAGAGAGTAACATTTTCTCCCTCTGTTTTAGTGATACCAGATGGAGAGGTGAGAATCTTTGGTGGATCTGCAAGCAGCAATATATTGGTATTTGTTTGTCTCACGAGATACTAATAAATACGGTCCTTACTATAGACCATTAAAGTATACTTACAAAATACAGTCAAGTATCCTGGCTGAGAATACTCGGTGCCTAGGTTATTCTCAGCTTTACAACGGTAAGTCCCCTCGTCACCTCTCACCAAGCTTTTTATTGTCAAAGAGACCTCGCTACTGCTTTCGGAAGAAGGCCAACTAGCCCTGTACTTGAAACCATTACTGGCGTTGATCTTTACACCGCTGTACCACCATGTTATCTGTATGGGCTTCCCTTGGACAGTGCAGTAAAAAGTTACAGATTGATGTTCAATCTCCGTAACATTCTGTGGTGATGCAGATATTTTTGGAGGATCTGAATATCGAAGTAGCAATTTTAGATGATTAAGCTAAATATTCCAAAATTGAAACGTAAAAATTATATACGTACAATGTACAGTTAGATTGGCTCTAGTGGAAAGCACATTTTCTCCAATACCATTATATGCATGACATTTGTACACGCCCTCGTCAAACCGGCCGACGTTTTGAATCATGAGCGATGCGTTTACACGTTCTTTTGAACCAGCAATGGGAGACGTTATTCTCGAATCATTTTTGTCAACAGGAAAACCGTTTTTAAACCATTTTACAGTTGGCTGTGGCTTTCCTTCCACTTCACACTTCAGTGTAACAGTGCTTGATTCGTTTATGGTTGTATGGAGCGGAGAAAATCGAACGAAAGGTGGATCTGGAAGAAACGTCAAAAAAAGAACCTATTCATAATTGTGAAAATCGTAGTTTTCCTTGGTTTTTGGTACAGCGCATAGCATTAAATGTTGTTAATGAGTTGTGCAGCTAAAATGTGTGCGCTACATTACCACTGCACCCTCCTTAATTAACAGATTGCATGATATTCTTCAAACATAGAATGACGCTACTTACAATGGATAGTAAGTTGTGCTGCACTAGAAATAACATTTGATTTGACGCTGTTGCCGATGACACATGTATAGTTGCCCTTATCAGCTCTGTTCAGATTGGTGATGGTAAGCCAAGAAGTGACATTACTAGAATCACCTGACTGTCTGACTGTCAGCCTTGAGTTGGAGTTGATGGCAAGTTTCTGTCCATTTGCAAACCATTCCACCATCGTAGGTATAGGTTTGCCCTCAAACCGGCAGAAAAAAGCAACATTAGCTCCCTCAGTTTTAGTGATTCCAGATGGAGAGGTGAGAATCTTTGTTGGATCTGCAAGCAGCAATACAAGTACATGGGTAATTGTTTGTCTCACGAGATAAAATAAATACGGGTATTAGTATAGACCAATTAAACTATACTTACAATAAACAGTCAAGTATGCTGGTTGAGAATACTCGGTTCCTAGACTATTCTCAGCTTTACAGCGGTAAGTCCCCTCGTCACTTCTCACTAAGCTGTTTATCGTCAAAGAGACCTCGCAACTGCTTGCTGAAGAATGCCCACTAACACTGTACTTGGCGCTATCACTTGTGTTGATCTTTCCATTGCTGTACCACCATGTTATTTGTGATATGGGCTTGCCTTGCACCGTACAATTAAAAATCACCGATTGATGTTCAATCTTTGTAACATTCTTCGGTGATGCAGATATCTTTGAAGGATCTGAAGACAATACTAGACTATTAAATGATTAAGCCAAATATTACATACTTTGAAACATTAACTATACTTGCAGTGTACAGTCAAATTCGCTCCAGTGGACGATACATTTTCTCCAATGCCATTAGATGCGTGACATGAGTACACGCYCTCGTCCAACCGGTTGACATTTACAATCAGGAGCGATACGTTTAAACCTTCATACGACTCAGCAATGGCAGATGTTATTCTTGAATCATTTGTGCCAACAGAAAAACCGTTTTTAAACCACTTCACGGTTGGTGTAGGATTGCCTTTCACATGACACTTCAATGTAACATGGCTTGATTCCTTGGTAGTAGTATGATGTGGAGATAAAGCTATAAAAGGTGGATCTGGAAGAAACGTCATAAAATGAACTTACTCATAAGGTCTCGTAGTGAATTCACAGTTTTCTTCAGGGTGCAAGCTATTTGAAATTAGCAGGGATTTATGCACCTAAAACAAGCGCTCTATATGGACACTACACTAACGCTTGATCGCTTTTAATACATCATATACATAGAATGACTGTACTTACAATGGACTGTTAGCTTTGCTGCAGTAGAAGTAACATTTGTTTTGACAATGTTGCTGATGACACATATATAGTTGCCCTCATCTGTTCTGTTCAGATTGGTGATGGTAAGCGAAGATGTGGTACTACTAGTATTTCTTGAATCACTGACTGTTAGCCTTGAGTTGGAGTTGATGGCAAGTTTCTGTCCATTTGTAAACCATTCCACCACCCTAGGTATAGGTTTTCCCTCGAACCGGCAGGAGAGAGTAACATTTTCTTCCTCTCTTTTAGTGACTCCAGATGGAGAGGTGAGAATCTTTGGTGAATCTGAAAGCAGCAAAATATGGGTAATTCTTTGTCTCATGCACGAGATACAATAAATACGATTCTTAGTATAGACCAACTATACTTACAATAAACTGTCAAGTATGCTGGTTGTGAATACTCGGTGCCTAGGTTATTCTCAGCTTTACAACGGTACGTCCCCTCGTCACCTCTCACCAAGCTGTTTATTGTCAAAGAGACCTCGCTACTGCTTTCGGAAGAAGGCCAACTAACACTGTACTTGTCGCTATCACTTGTGTTGATCCAGTTTACATCGCTGTACCACCATGTTATCTGTATTGGCTTCCCTTGGACAGTGCAGTAAAAAGTTACAGATTGATGTTCAATCTCTGTAACATTCTGTGGTGATGCAGATATTTTTGGAGGATCTGAATATCGAAGCAACAATTTTAGATGATTGAGCTAAATATTCCACAATTGCAACGTGAAAATTATATACGTACAATGTACAGTTAGATTGGCCCCAGTGGAAAATACATTTTCTCCAATACCATTATATGCTTGACATCTGTACACGCCCTCGTCAAACCGGCTGACATTTAGAATCATGAGTGATACGTTTAAACGTTCATACGACCCAGCAATGGTGGACGTTATTCTCGAATCATTTGTGTGAACAGGAAAACCGTTTTTAAACCATTTTACAGTTGGCTGTGGCTTGCCTTCCACTTCACACTTCAGAGCAACAGAGCTTGATTCGTTTGTGGTGGTTTGGAGTGGAAAAACTCGAACGGAAGGTGTATCTGAAAAAGACGTCATAAAATGAACCTAGTCAAAAGGTGGCTCGTGGTGAAGTCACGGTTTTCTT